AAGCCAACCTAGGGTGAGGCTTAGGGCTTAGGGGCATGACAGGCCTGATGTACCGGAGATGTGACGAGCTTTCTGGGGTCTGAGTTGAGGCCGTGGGTCAGGGGGGAGTGTCAGGCTCAAGGACTGCGGCCTGGGCACGTTGAAGTCAGGGTCCCAGATGTGTACTATTGTCGTGCAGATGAGTGTGCTCCTGGATGCATGGGCCTGTTCTGGGTGCTGGAGATGTGGTCATCAAGAGACAAGTTGCGTCCGGTCTGGATGCAGTACATGTCCCAGTGTGAGAGCACGGCAGCCAGTCAGAGGGCAACAGCACCCGAGGGCGAGTGTTGTCTCTTAAAGGAGGTGGTCAGAGAAGGCTTCTCTCAAAGGTGGCCGTTGGCAAACAACAAAGACAAAAATAAGTACCCCAAATATCATCAATTGCTAAGCATGGGCCATGCTCTGAAGTCTTCTTCCTAAAACCATCACCCCAGGACCATGAGACAACATGAGACAGAGTGCAATCACGAGACAGTGTACAAAACCTCAGCACTCCTCCTACAAGCCGTCGAGACCTTCAGAGTAAGGAGAGCCCAGGGAGACGCCACCCGTCATGTGGGACTCCAGACGGTGTCCTGCAACGGCAAGCATAAGGGGATCTAGACAGAGCTCAGACAGGCTCGTCCGCTGTGACAGTGAGGATGGCAGCCACAGGGGACACTCCTCCCAGCCCTTCCTCAAGTCTGAAACCACGCTAAGATGTAAAGGGTACCCTAAAGATGCTGTGCAAGAAAACAGCCATTTTCCACTGCTCTTCCGCAGGGTGAACGCGGCCCACCTGTGTCATTCCCAGCCCCCGAAGCCCAGGAGACCCCCGGGGCCAGTCGCTGGCCGGGCCACCTACACTGCACAGGACTGCAGAGGTCTCTGGAAAGTTCTTCCCCACACTGACGCAAGGCAAACCCGGTCCTGTGGTGACACTGCCCCCTGCTGGCCACGCAGGCTACCAACACGGCTTCTGGAGGACGGGGTAAATTTCTGAGATGTCAAGTCATGGTTTCCACCCCCACCGCTTCTGCATTTTCCACCATGGGACAGTGAAAACACAGGTGCTGGAAACATCAGAGGTGACAGAGAGGGCCCGCCCAGGCCTCCCGCGGAGTCCCCAGCAAGCCAGATGCGGTCCTGCTCTTCTGCTCCCAAGCCCACGTGCTGGCCTCCCCCCCGCCTCCCCTCATCACCTGCGCCCTCATCCACTCCCGGGGCAGGGTGGCCTCACCAAGGAAGCATGGCACCTCTTGCTCCATGCAGATGCAGACAGGCTGTGGGAACCCCTCCACCCCAGAGGCTGAAGTGAGCACCAGGATGAACACCCATCTGTCATCGTGGATGTGGTCCCCCTCCTTCCACAAACACACCGTCTGTGACTGACAGGCGAGGCCACACATCCTGAATCTAGGTGCTGCTGAGAAGGTGTCTGTGAATGTGGCAAAGGCCCAGCACCAGCTGACTTTACGTGAGGCTTCCCTGAGGAGGAAGACGTGCGGCCTGTGGTCAGCAGCCTTGGCCTGTGCCCTTCCTGATAGCGGGCCCTGCGGAATCCACCCTCACCTAGCTTCCTGCCGCTGGACCACGGCCACAGAGGCCCTGGCACGCACTTCCTGCTCCTCTCCAGCCCTGTCTGCACCTGGACATTCGGGGTCGGAGCAGGCCCAGCAAGCCTCTTCTCCCCTGCATGGAGTGTGCTGGCATCCCCCACTTGGCATGTGACACTCTCTCCGAAACCACCAGGTACACAGAAAACCCACGAATGTGGTGGAGCTCCATGAGAAGAGGGACTGTGTGGGCCCGGCACTGTGCCTGGCACGGGGAGTTCTCCATCAGCAGAATCAATGGCTGAAGGCGCTCTGCGTCAGGCCTACCAGCCCCGGGTCCCCTCACTGCCCAGCCCCCAGGGGAAAACCGCAGGGTAGGGGCACCGACGGCCTGACCTGACGCCTCCCTCATCAGGGTCTTGGGCTCGCTGGTACTGCCCACCCTTCTCGGCCCCTTTACGGGCTTCCCAGTCCTGCCTTGAGAAGGGCCAAAGAAAAATCTGGAAATGCCAAAAAATTACCTGTTTACATTAACACTTCCAAAATTTTGGTGCTTATGGGACAGATCTATTTTCAGGTAAATTTCTTTTGAACCGTGAAGCCATGTAGAATAACATCAAAATATTCATGTGTTAGGGAACCAGGTTACATATTAGCACTGAAATCAATCACTTCAGAACAAAAAGAAGCAAACGTATCTCTTATTGTAACAGACATCCAGCAATCAAAGTCAATAAGGAAAGACTACTAGCCTGTTAGAAAAATCACAATAACACAGACATAAGATCTCCTATGGGAAAATAAGGTATTTTATGACTTTGGGATTTCTTAAAGATGGGTGCAGAAACAAACTTAAGGGGAATTTACCCATTTAAGGATTTCTGTAACGGAGAATGA